TTGTCGACGAAGCAAAAGCGAGAGAAAAAAAAATCGAGCCGAAAATTTCTTATTTCGCAACGCATCGACGAATGATTGATGCAAACCGTAATCCGAAAAGGAGCCCGACGGCCCGCGAAACACAATGCCCGCACAAAAATTACGTTTCCAGTTAATAAATAACTGCGGTGCCATGGCTCGCCGGCCCACTTAACAGTTATTTAACTGACATCAATATGTCGAATCGCTTCGCACCGCCGAAATTGCCACCATTACGAAATATTATTCTCGTTCCGTGCGCTATCAAAGGGCTCGAACCTTAGAGAATACAAGACGCGGAGTCTCAAAACATCAAAAATATGTCAATGCCAGTTAACTAATGTTCAAGTAAAATATGTATATACATATGTATATAAAATATTTTTTTTTAAATGTTCCATGTCTTACATTCTCTAAGGTTTTGAGACGAAAGACATCAATCGCGTTTATTTTTCGGCTTCGACTCTTAAAGTATAGGTGATACGTGACAACGGCAATTTTCGAGAGAACGATTGATACGTTAAATGCATTGCCAGTTTTCGATTTCGACGTTAATTGCTACTAATTGATCGAATTTTAGTACTATTTCGAGGATAATTATAAAAAGAAATCTGCCACTTTCTAAAGTTATAACAATGTTTGGTTGATTTTGCAATACAAGAAAAAAAGAATTTTGGACAAAATTTAGTTTGAAGATAACGAAAAATCCAAATAATTTGTTTGTCTAACCTCACTTTTTAAACATCATGATAGTCGCATTATTTTGACGATTTAATAACGCAGCTTGTCATTGTGTATTTAAGATGTGTGTTTTTAAAGTGGCAATAGAAAAATAGTACATTAAACGCCATTTTAGTCAAGAATTTTAATCAGGCACGAGCGAGCTTGCGAGCGAGTGTTTTATTAAATGAGTAGAAAAGTTCATAAACGAGTTGCATAATATAATTTTTCTACTCCTATTACGGAATTTGACCCTTCTAATATCACTTTTATCTATGGAATGACATATATTCCGTAAAGTGTTAAAGAATTAAATATTCTATCATCTGATGACAGAATATACACTCGTGGCGACATCTCTGTTTTTAATATCTAACAAATTTTAGACCGATCCAACCTCACTTTCTTCCAATTAAATTATTTGTCTATAGTATTTTTTGGAAACGTAGAAAAAGTAAAGTCTGAAACACGTTTGAAATTGCATATTCCGCTCTCGTCAAACTCGACTTCGGCTCGTGTGACAAACTCTTCATACAGAAAAATATTGGAAATTGCAATGTTTTTTTAAAAAATGTATATTTTCACACAAAAATAAATATATCGAGGTGAACCAAAAACAAAACTGTTAAGAATAGATGTGACTTGATAAATAAAACTTAATTTAGAACAATATACGGTTTTGCCACTCTACAGAGTGTCTTAAACTTATGGTAAAAAACATCTTTTTGTTTAAACCTGTATATTATAAACGTACGTGTATTTTTTAGTAATTTTTAAAATGTTCCAATTCTCCATTAATGTATATACAATATTCTTTAATATTCGTTTAAATCCGACATCAAATAAAAAAGTTATTTGCGATTGAAATTCATCGAAAATTTGTGTGGATCGATTATTTTGCCTGTGAGTGTACTCAGCAGTAAATATCTAACTTCTGGTAATAGTAGGTAATCTGAGAATCGGATCGAGGCAAATCGACAACGAAGATTTTAAATCGTGTAAAGAGTGGTGTAGCGTTACCGTGTGTGATTGTGCGCGCCTTTCGGGTCCGCGCTGCATCGTAATTAGGTAATTAAAAGGGGCACACACACACACACACACAGGATCGGTCGCCTTCAATTAAAATAAACACTGCGAACAATAAATCGCAATTAGTCGTGCAGATCGCGGGAGACGCGTTACTTGCGTAACCCGATCGCAAGCCGGAGCCTGGGAAAAAGACCAATAATTGATCAAGTTAAAAATGTTATAAATTTATATTCTGCAAATATTTGTTGTGCTTTATAATAATACATTAAATTAGCAGGTTTTAAAAAATTGCCTAGTAAAAAAAATATCCCGGCGCATTCGCCATTTTTGAAAATAATAATATTTTGTTGCATATATCTTCTAATTTTATACAAGAATTAAAAAAACATAACAATTGTTACACTATGATAGTTTTAGAAACTTTTTTTCCTAACATTGAGTACTCCAGCTTAGTCTAACTAATTTTGGGCCGCTGATTTCAAAAATGTCATTTGTTTTTCTCTAGGACGTCTAGGATTTAAAATAATTTCGTATACGGCAAAAAGATCATATTTATCTTAACAATATGACATTTTAAATACTAAAACTAAAATTTTAATGTATTTTATGTAAAAAAACAAGTTTCGGTATTTTTTATCCAAATTAAGCCCATAATTTTGCTTTTTTTACCTTAAATTTATTAAATCGTATCAAATATCGAATTGAATTATAGTATTATTATGCCTAATCCTCATCATCGTCGTACATCTTTTGCTGCAAATTTCAGCAAATGTCTCCTAGCAATGAATCCAACTTCTTTTCGCTATACCCATAGATATCTACCAATGCTCTAGATTTGCAGTTACTTGGTGAAATCGTTCTCCATGTTCATCAGTTCGGCAAATTTATCAGGATGAAAAAAAAGAAAATGTATTTTAAATGACATATTAACGCTAATGCTTTACAAAATTTTAGGCCCGATATGACATTTTCAATGAAAGCTTTAACACTGCCATATCCGACAAGCTCGTCAACTTTGAGAGCATTTTTGAATGCTTGATCTTTCATTAAACGTCGTATATAAGGTCCATTTAATATTCCTGCAAAATTAAAGTAGTAGGTATATCTCATAAAATTTTGCAATGAAATATTGCGTTGGTTTTTCTTGGGCATAAAGGTACCGCAACAAAAACAAAAGTTACAACGACGACATAAATGTTCGTCTCCTTTCTCTTTCTCTGCCACTTCCATTACCACTTCCATTTCCTGCTCTTTTTCATTTTTGGTTCTTAAAATCACTTTCAAGTAAAAATACAATTTAAAGTTTAAATTTTAAATGTCAAAATAAATGCACTTTAATGTGCTTGAACGATAAAGTAGGTATACTTCAATTCGATATTAAATTTTGATAAGACTTAATAAATAAGATTGGAGATTTTTGGGTACTTTAGGCATGATGTAAATACAAAAATATCAAATAAAAGTCGAAGAGTAATTTTTATACCGAAACCCATTTACTTTGTTACCTTTTAAATTTAATTGATAATTAAAAAAACAACACACAAATTTCAAAAAATTATACTTTTTACCAAAAAAACGTTATAATTTTAGTTTTGGTATTTAATAAGCACTTTTCTTATATAATACTACTATAGTATAGGTACGGCTACAATGAAACAAAAAAAAATTCTATTTGACATTTATTTACCGATGACTTTATATGGAGTCCCTGTAGTGAAGTTCTTTTTCGAAAGGAAATCCTGGTTGAGTTTTTACCGGTTTTCCAATAAACAGTGGAACTCAGAATGAAGAAATAAATTGCATACAGTCTCTGTAAATATAAATTGTAATTGTAATAAATACACATTTTAGTAATGATTTACGTAAAAATTGTAAACTTTGAGTATATGAGTTTGAAGGAATATTTTGTCGTTAAAATTTGATGAGTAAGACTTTCTCTCTTTTGTGAAAAAACTGCTTATTTATTTAAAGTGATGTGCAGTTCGTAAATGTATTGTTGACAATGGGGTAGTTAAATTTTTTCTGACCTATACTTTTTATGGTTTTATTCAAGGCGTTTTGTAATATTAAACATTTCTGTAAAATCAGAATTTCAATTGAGTTTACCGTTTTCGAGATATTTACAAAAAATATAAATTTTTATGACGTCACAAACCTCGCCATGTGACCAACATTCTAAGATTTATATTGGTTGAAAATTACCCTGTTGTCAAGTTGTCTTGTTAATGATTTCATTCGGTTATGTCAGAAAATACCCGAAGATGTTTTATACTGTCACTGTCAGTTGAGTGAAAGAAGAAGAAGAGGAGGTTAAAGAAAATTCTGAAATTAAAAGTTTTATTGATAGGTTTACACATTGAAACACCGTGTGAAACCTAATAAAATGTAATAAATAGGTACCTAATAACTGTCTAAAGCAGAGTTTAATATATTTCATAGAAAAAAGTGGCAAAATAAAGCTGAAAATAAATGAAATAAATTTACAAAAAATAACAGTAAATGTAAGTTAACAATGGTATTTATGATATTTGTGTATAGTTTTTATAAAACGCATCCCTGATGATGAGCATCAAAACCTTTTGTAAGATTAAAAAAATGTATGACAAACTTTTGGACTGTTCAAAGATACTACGCTCTAGAGTACATTTTAAGATATATCTAAAAGAATGAAATGCATTTACGACAAAATATGATTATAGTTATAGGTACTTTCTTTATTTGTTTAAAAGCTCCAATGTTCAATGTAACCCACCATTCCACAAGATTCCTCTGCTTTGGAGTCCGTTATTAATAAATCACTTATCTAATATCAATTACAAATAAAATAACATTAACATTGATTTTCAATAATCTAAATTTAAAAAAAACATAACCCGAAAAAAAGAAACGTCAAAAAACAATTCTTCTTCTTCTCAACTAAAATTATAGATCAAGTGGTTTTAAAACTAAAATATTATAACGTGGCGCCATCTATCGCAAGAATCTTAAACTAAACACACTGGCAACCATAGAAAAAGCTGGCAACGTTGTCAATAGCTCGAAAATGGTAAACTCAATTGAAATTCCGATTTCACAGAAATGTTTAAAATTACAAAACTCCTTGATTAAAACCATAAAAAGTATAGGTCAGAAAAAATTTAACTACCCCATTCTTGAATTCACACAATGCTATCGAAGCGTATATGTTTTATACCAAACTTGGAACAATCGAAAAGGTAAACGTAAATTTTTAGGATTCCCTTCCTTCTTACGACGAGGCAGTGCGCAGAGCGTCTGCGCACGCTATTCCCGTCAGCATGATGCCTGGATGTAGATTGAGCAGACCGCATTGGCCCAGTTTGGCCAACCGTAGAGCCAGAAATTCCCCCAATCCCGATCTAACCAGTGTCACCAGGCATGGATCGTTGTAAGTACTATTTAAAAATTGATTATGAAATGATTTTATGTTATTAATTTTTTCCAAATTAAACTATAAAGTACTCAGTTTAAAAACTTAATAATCTTATCATCGTAAACCTAAATATTTGAGTAAGTTTTATAGCGCGCTCCTTAATAACGAACGAGACCACTTAATATACCTGTTGTAACTGAAAATAAATTACTACCTAATTAGCAAGAAATTGTTTCGCGATATTTTAAACAATATCACGCCCAACGTTTTTCTGTAAAGACACCGAAAGCTACTTGCTGACTTATCAGAGTTAAAACGTTTTGGTAAGCGATTAATGTCATTTTGGAAATAATAAAATTGCGAATGGGTGCTGTAAATTGTTAACACACTTTTATGGTAGATGATGAGAACATTTTTTGCTTAATTGGAACAATATTGGCGCCAAGTTACAAGAACATTTAACTCTTTCAGTGCATCTCATTCTCCAAGTACCCGCTCTGGAGTCGACTCAATGGGGTCCACAGATACGGTGGCCATTTCTGAGGGTTCAACCAATATAACTCTCGATACAGCTTCTTCGCACAGTGGCTCGCAGCCGGGCTCTTGTAGGGTCCATTGCGGCAGTTTGGCATCTTTTGACACCTCGTCTGTAGTCAACACAGAAGGTAAAATATCTCCTTTAGGAAGCTAAACTTCTAGGTCAAGTGATTGAATTTTTAGATGCCCCATTGTTGGAAGAGAGCGAGTTGGAAGAAATACAAGTAAACCTGGACAATATTTCAGCAGCGGACAATTGTTCCTTCAAATCCGCTGATGTCCCATAGATTTAATTCAGCCTACATAGCGCATATATTTTTATTGTATAGTGAGTTTATTGATGTTAAGACCAAAGATTTATGTAGTGATATATTTGGCCATTTTAATCGTGATTTACCTTATAGATGGTATTTTTGAACCACTAGCATAATATTCTTGAAATATGACTAAGAAGTTCGTATTATACATAGGTTTGTTTCTACAAGAGTTTAAAAGGCCTATTGCGCAGTTTGGGACAAACCTATTATTCTTATTACCAAAGAATCAGTTTCTTTTGATTATCACTAATCTGTGTTATTTTTTAATGTTTGACGTTATTTCTATTCTAATTGATTTAAATTTTATTTTTAAGTTTTTTGTTGTGTGAAGATATTTAAGCATTTTAATTTGTGATATTTCATTGTAAATAAATCGTGTTTTATGCCGTACATTATTTTATTTTTAAGCCCAAAAGAAAAGGTCTAAATGAGTTAAATCCCACGATCGTGGCGGCCAATTCTGCCGTGCTAAGCTAAACCCCCGTATCTGCAATATTAAATTATAAAGGACAACAATTATTTTCAAATTTATTGTTGGTTTTATATCACATTACTGAAGATGTGGTGGGTGGAGTTTGTCTTGCAGTGTGTGTAGAGCGGGTGTTTTTGTTTTGATTCAGATTAAATTATTTATTTTATTTTTATCAAGCAACAAGTTGTATTGAGTTTCAATTAAGGTTAGGTTTTCAAAATACCGGTAAATTGTCCTGTTCATAACATTATTCTCTCAATAATTGAAACGCCTTTTTTAAGAAAAAAGTAAACTGAAAAAATAAAGATATACACTGTTCAAAACTTCATGACCATTTTAACACCAAATTAACACCATACATGGTCTATTTCGATACAAACCAAAATGGTGTTAAATATGGTTCGTTTGTCCGGTGTAAATTCAAATACTAAAATAGTGTAAATTTAACTTTTACACAGTATTAAAATAAATTCAACTCCTTGTCAGTGTTAAATATTATGTGTTTTTGGTCAAATTAAATCATACTAACAGAAAAAAAGGAAACAGGAAGTTCCTTGACGCATTACTAGTATATTACCAGTGGTATTATTCCAGAAAATTGAACCTTCAACTTGCTAGAGATAATGTTTTAAGTGCGTTTCGCCAACTTAAAATACTTCAAGTATTGACAGCTGTATCCACCTATTTAAGGTCTCTTTAGTATCGAACAACTTGTAGTGTCACACCAAAGCAAAGGACTACCTGAGCTTATATACTCTTCATGTAAGTCAACAGAGGCGAGATTTAAGAACATCACGTGATCCTCACCGCCTTTGCCGCGATCGGTACATATTATGCAACCAGGAATGCACGGCAAATTGTTTTAATCGTTTTAACAGGGTGCTTTAGCTTGAAGTAACTCTTATTTTACAAACAACATATTTAGTAAACTGAACCATACAGCGGGTTGGTTTCACTAAAGTTTTCTGGGTTAATTTAACCAATTTAAAAAAAAAAAAAATAACTGTCTGGTTTAGTACCGTCAAACTAATCTTTGTTTATATTAACCTTGTGGGTCAACTAAATTAATATAGTTAAATGAAGTATTCCTTTTTTTCTGTGTAGGTGCACATCTCAAATATTTTTAGTTAAATACCGTTTTGGTGTTTGCTGTATATAACATTTTCAACCAAAATTCATGGTGTTTATATAACACCACTTGGTGTTGGATTTTAACATCATTTTAAGATTACTCTTTACACCACAGATATTTTAAACAGTGTAGTGGAGTCACTTTTTCTATTGAAATGGGACTAAGTTGCAAGACTAATGTCTGATTTCTGTTATTTGTGGAATGAGTTGATGATGATGACGACCAAGTCCAAGTTACAATACCAAAAAAATCGCTTAATTTATTTTAAAAGAACCTACAATGGGCCTGTATACAACGTTTCATAATAGCTGGGTTCCGCATTTTTTGAATGCCGCTCTAATTTCCAACTGATTAATAACCCATAGCTGCCAACAGGAGCCAATTTTTTAAAATTAATTCCTCCGAAAAGCCGATCTTTTTTCTTCACGCTTATCGTCTGCGTAATCTACCTTTGCCATTTTTGGGCGTTATAAGTGCGTTTAATTATACCCGGTGTATTTATGATTGCGCAGCATTCATAATAATAATGGAAAATTTGCGCGAATCAATCATTGTTCGACAAGGAGTTTTCTATACATACCCACCCATTTGTTGGGCGATCATTGCGTTATTTATCGGAGCCCTGCTTTGTGGGGATTTATGACAAGAAAAATGTACAGTAAGGAGACAGGGGCGGCTTAGTTCAGATTGGAGCCCTTAAAGATAAATTTTTTGATAAATAGCTGAAGGGGTAAAGAAAAATATTTAAAAAATATTTTCCCAAAGATAAAGAAAAAATATGAATTTTATATTTTTTTGATACGCCACTTCCCACATAACACAATATGTTTTAAAAATGTTGTCAGGCCGTTTAGAGAACAATATTTATAAATATAAGGTTGATAAAATGTTGTACAAACATTCAGGGGAAAATATTTTTATAACTGTTACGCGTAAATATATCTAAAACATTCATAAATATCATTTAAATATTTTTTAACATTTATTTCGCAATGTTATGTAAATATTATATCCTAAATATTGTGTAGTTATTTAACAATATTTATAAACTTTTTGAAAACTTAATTCAAAGTTTTGTGATGTCAGCGCCTCTCGATAAAAAGGTCTGAGGCTTTTATAATCTATGGTTCGGCCATTTTTGCATTGTTGAGTGTGTTTTAAGTGTGATGCCCTAGAAAAACCTGTGTGCGACGCTAATAATAAATTATCCAGATTGAGGTATGTATTATGTTTATTTTTATTGTTTAGATTATTATTTATTTATTAATGGCTTTGTTATCTATGAATGGTAGTGTACTAAATCACGGCGGTACGGTACCGCGTTATTGCCACCCTATTGAAGACGATTATTATATCAGTAAAATTCTTATTAACAAAAAATGTTAAAATCAGACAAATTAAATTAAATTATTTTTAGCCTCCATCCGGAAGAATCCGAAAACAAATAATGCGACAGAAAACGAAATTTTACCAGAGTTGAGACAATGGTTGGCCCAAGAGAAATTTAGAAAAAAAAAGTAAATAAGAAAAACCGATACTGAAGAAGGAATTTTTTTTTGTGATTCTTTCCAAAGAATTTTTGTTTTGTATATATATATATAAAATATTTGTTTATTATTTTTTTATTTAATATAATAATAATAATTTGTTTATTTATATTAATTATTTTTAAAATAAACTTTTTTTTTAATAATTTTTATTAAGAACTGTACTAAAATTTCTTGTATTTTTAGCGTGCAAAAAATATATCTCCAGCTATGGTATTTTACTGTTTTACTATATTTGCTATGAGAATACCACATCTACTTTTTGCACTCCAACAAAAGAAAATATATACAGTACACAAAAAGTATCGGATGTCACACGGCTTTTATAAATGGGGCATTCCAGGTTACTCGGTAATTTTTGTCCCGCCCGTCACAATTAAAAATTGTGAGTAAAAACCCCACGTTATTAAATTTATTTTAAAATATGGTTTATTATGCATATATTAAGCTTATAGGCACAATAAAAATAATATTATAAAATAATAATTTAATAACTTGTGGTTTTTACTCACAATTTTTAATTATGACGGGCGGGACATAAATTACCGAGTAACGTGGAATGCCTCAAATATAAAAGAAACATGTTATCAACATTAACAACAACATTGTTAAAATAAATATGCAATATACTGTAAATATTTCAAAAATATTTTCAGAAATTTTTGTGATGTTGAGAAAACATTAATAAAATATAAGGTAATGTATATAAAACATTTACAAAAATGTTTTAAAAATGTTGTGGAAAAATATTGTATAAATATAAAAAGTGGGACATCTAAATGTTGTAAAAACATTTTAGAGACATTTAAATGAAAATGACTAATATTTCTAAAATATTTAGTTCATTTAGCAAAAATATTCATTTAATATTTTATATATATTTTTGTGTTATGTGGGTTATGTTCTGTGAGTACAACAAAGTAGCTGCGCGTTGCCAATTGTAAAAAAATTGGTCTTGCAAAAAATAAATAAAAACTCAATAAATATTTATTCACTCATCCAGCTATTAGCATAACTTATGCTGCATAAGCAATGATTAGAAAATTTAGTACCAATTTTAAAAACTCCATAACCACAAAATTAATTTTTTCATCGTTTTTTTTCTTTTTGTTTACTCAGATGAAATTAGGACAAGTTCACAAGTTAAACTTTAAACATCAATTTGCGTAAATAATTCCAAAAGCACTTCTCTTAGTTAAGATATTTCCAATTTGAGCACATAACCTAAAATTTGAAAGAAATGCATAAAAGTTGCCAGATTTTGTTTGAATTTACCCTCATTACAAAAATGACATAATAAACAATTAATAAAAACGCCAAATTAAGAAAATTGCATATCGATGACTTTCTGCCAAAGTATCGCAAGGAACATAACTCAAATTTCGGGAATTGAAAAAAATTTTTGTTTTAAAGTCTGTTTTACTTGTTATAAAACCATTAACAGCGTATTTTGGTATAAACTTTATAAATCTAAAATTCACACCTTTACACTGTTCAAAATTTCATTTTAACACCAAATTAACTCCATACATGGTCTATATCGATACAAATCAAAATGGTGTTAAATATGGTTCGTTGGTCCAGTGTAGATTCAAATACTAAAATAGTGTAAATTTAACTTTCACACAGTATTAAAATAAATTTTACCTGGTGTAAATTGAACTCCTTTTCAGTATTAAATATTATGTGTTTTTGGTCAAATTAAATCATACTACAGAAAAAAACGAAAAAAAAGGAAACAAGAAGTTCCTTGACGCATTACTAGTATATTACCACTGGTATTATTCCAGAAAATTGAACCTTCAACTTGCTAGAGATAATGTTTTTAGTGCGTTCCACCAACTTAAAATACTTCAAGTATTGACAGCTGTTTCCACCAATTTAAGGTCACTTTAGTATCAAACAACTTGCAGTGTCACACCAAAGCAAAGGACTACCTGAGCTTATATACTCTTCATGTAAGTTAACAGAGGCGAGATTTATGAACATCACGTGATCCACACCGCCTTTGCAGCGATCGGTACATACCATGCAACCAGGAATGCACGGCAAATTCTTTTAATCGTTTTAACAGAGTGCTTTAGGTTGAAGTAACTCTTATTTTACAAACAACATATTTAGTAAACTGGTTTCACTAAAGTTTTCTGGTTTAATTTAACCATTTAAAAAAAAAATAACTATCTGGTTTAGTACCGTCAAACTAATCTTTGTTTATATTAACCTTCTCACAGTTGATTTAAATAAATACTTAGGGTTCAACTAAATTAATATAGTTAAATAAACTATTTCTTTTTTTCTGTGTAGGTGCACTTCTTAAATATTTTTAGATAAACACCGTTTTGGTGTTTGTTGTATATAACATTTTCAACCATAATTCATGGTTTTTATATTAACACCACTTGGTGTTGGATTTTGACACCATTTTAAGATTACTCTTACACCACAGATATTTTAAACAGTGTAGTTGCTGAATATACTTAATCCGTAAGTCTTGACACGCTTGTTACACCAATGGTATTGAGTACTGAGATTTTCATGAAACCCATTTTTGTTTCAACGGTTTCAATGGTTGTTTTTAGTGACTAACCTCAAACCCATTACAATCATACTTTATTAGTTTCATACTTTTGGGCCTCTACCACTAGAGACGGCCCTGCACTTTACAAATTATTTATTGGTGGAGAGCTGACTGCACGCCCGATTTATAATGCTTTAATCGCTCTCATACTTTCCTTCTAAAAATTACGTTCGGGCAACGAATAAACTATTTTTTATGGCAGGTTACCATCGATGTTCGGCCAATAATTAGCGAATTTCTCAATCGGTTCTCACAGGATTTTTTTTGTTTTCGTTAAGTAACCTTCAATGTTCACTTTACATCCCTATTGTAAAAAATTGTTACTAAACATTTTTCTTTTAATTTGTGTAAATAAATCCAAAAGCACTTCCCTTAGTTAAGATATTTACAATTTGAAACAAATGCACTAGATTCTGTCATAAATGTTGCCAGATTTTGTTTGAATTTACCTTCATTACAAAAATTACATTTGCATTGTTGATTTTGTCATTTTTGTAATTAAGCTAAATTTAAACTAAATCTGGCAACTTTTTTGACAGAATCTGAAAACGCTGGTTGTTACCAACCATAACATAATAAATTAAATTAGGCAACCAGATAAGTTTAAAGTTCCTAGTTGATCAGTGGCGTACTTTTTGGTAGGATAAAGGTTATTATAAATTATTTTTAGTATTTAGAATTTGAAAAAAAAAGTTTCAGGTGCTTCTTTATGGACCCTAAGGAACTACCCATTTTAATATATTACATTAATTACATAACACTCTGTATACAAATGACGAAGAAAGTATTAAAAAAAAAAGAAGACGATCCAGGACAGGGATAGCGAACCTTTTTTAGCGTGCGTGCCAAAAAAATATAAAAAAAAATTTTTTATATTGTAACGTGCCACAAGTAAATTTTTGTAAGTGAAGATGAAAGTATACAATTTTGTTCTCAAAACGTGCCGAGAAAAATTTAAAAACGTGCACTCATGGCACGCGTGCCATAGGTTCGCCATCCCTGATCTAGGAGAAGGAACAAGGCATAAAAATATTTTAGAAAAACAAAACTAAAAATACTTTTAAAAATAAATAACAATAAAAAGACTCGGTACTTTACAGAGTAAAATAATTCCTATAGATTTTTTTGTAATGAAACGTCCTGAGAAATTTCGAAAAACTTTCACTAATATCAATAAAAAATGCCGTGTATCGATTAATTATGATTCGGACATTTTTATTAAATAATTTAAAATGTTGATTTTATGTCGGAGGTATTTCTCGACTTGTCAGAAGAACCGCAGCGTTATAAGCTTTTCTCTCTCGATCGAAAACTCGTATTGCCAAATTTCAAACCGTCCATATAGGGTCAGAAATTTCGGAGTCGTTTAACACTATTATCGGGTTACGGCCCGAAATATGGGCCACACTTTCACAATAAATTCCAATTATCTCACTATTTTGCAACAGTCTTTATTATCAATTTCAATCACAACAATTTTTGGCTTTAAACATCTATTACACGGTGCTGTTCTGAGAGGTGATTTTTGGACTTTCTGTGAAACCTATTTTTTTTTATATATTCTTGTTAATTAGGTCATAACTAAAATTTTAAGAGCAAAATAAAAAAAATTTGACGGTTAATTTTGTTTTAATTGGATGTTTATTAAAAATATGTATGCACACTTTCAATTCTCCAATTAAAACTTGCGATTTTATTTAAATATTATCATAAATTTTTAAATCAGATTAAAGATTAATTAATTTCCTAAAAAAAGGTCTATACATTTTTTATATCTTTTACTGTTTTGTTGTAATACACGTTTAAAGTTTTAATTTAAGGTTAAATGTATAGTATACATTTATTAAACAATAATTCTAAGGGTGCCACATTTTATTTAGGGCCGATTTATTCATTTTTGATTTATTTGACGAATAATTTCTTTGGATACTAGATATTGCCAAGACATGAAAGTTATCGGCCCGATAAACTTTACTAAAGATGAATAAACCGGTCCTTAGTTAAATTTCATGAATTTCTTCGTAACTTTTACTACAATTTTTCATTTTTGTTTATAAAAAACACTTTAAAAAACTAAACAAAAATTATAGAATACGTATACTGAAAATGACAATTCAAACATCAAATAAATTTTTAATAGATCTAAGTTTCATGGCAACCTTTAAGGATATATTAATTAAGGGAACATAAATGTATACGTCAAAGGTTAGATTAAAAGTTTGAACGTTTATTGCAACAAAAAAGTAAAATATATAAAAAAAATTGTAAAAACCTTTTTTTTAGTTATGCAAATATTAAATATTTAAATTAAATCGCTAGTTTTAATTTGATAATTGAAAGAGTGCATAATATTTTTAATAAACAGCCAATTAAAACAATTCAAACCGTCAAATTTTTTTTAGTTTGCTCTTAAAATTTTAGTTATGACCTAATTAACAAGAATATAAAAAAAAATTAGGTTTCACAGAAAGTCCAAAAATCACCTCTCAGAACAGCACCGTGATTATTTCTTATAAAATTAAAACAAGTTATAATATAAATCAAACATTTAAAACTAGGTGCAATTTAAATGTGCCGCTGCTGGCTCAAATTCCTATTGATTTATGATGTAAGGGACTCTGTGTATAGAGAATAGAGCGCATGTAAAAACCGAGCAGGATTGCAGGAAATCAAGGAGCACATCCTGCATGTAAATGCTTATCCTGCTGTAACCCAAAGGTAAGACAGAGACAAGTATAAACACATTAATTAAAGTAAACTTCAACAAGGTAAATCAGATTTGTTAACATGATTTTGTGGTTTGTTAATTTAATTTTGCAAAATTGTAACATATTTTTTTGTAGAAAACCTGTGTTGTTATTATTTTAACAATGCAAAATATTTTACCAGCTCAGGTTCCAGATTTTTAACCGCAATTAATTATTATTTTTTATGTTTTAAAAGTTAAAAAGGTTTTCAAATATCTGAGGTAGTAAAAGCCTACTAAAAATATCAGTTCACTAAGAAAATTAAACACATCCAAAGCAATCGAATCAAATATAAAATATTATTAAAAATTAAAAGAAATAATTTTTATAACCATTTATGTAGGTGTTACAAAAATTGATTCTATCCTCCGTGAATCTGTTTTTGCTTTAAATTTTATGCAACAGATGGCGCTTTAATCATTTTAAATAAGCAAAAACCTCTGTTTACGACATTATAGATGCATGTGATTCCTGAAGGTCAGTTAGAATTTATATGCAGATGAGAGTGTTGCTGTTTTGTAATTCAAAAGTTTAAATTCATTAATTTGCTATTTTAAAACCTATCCACCGTAAAGTGTTATATCTCAGTAAGTAGATTTTTTTATAAATATTTTATGTACTCTCTAAAAATGAAACAGTGGATTTTCACTGATTGACAGTGCATATTAACTATTTGCCGCAGTGATAAGTATACCATTAGCAATTAGTGAATACTCACTTTTTCATGTAGCGATTTCTTTGCACTAATTTATTTAGTGAAAAAAAAAGTTAAAATTTCACTATTTTATGTCGAGAGTTCCGGAAAAGTAGTGATAATAAAAAACACTAATTTGGAGAAGTTAAAATTTCACTAATTTATATTGAAAAACACTAATTTTACAGTGAATTAATAACTCTCTGACGGAAATAGTGAAAATTTCACTGTTTCACTTTTAGATAGTATGTACAATTGTATTTTTAAAAATTATTAAGGTGTCAAAAGAAACAAAAACTTATTTCAAATATACAAAGGGGTGTTTAAAAAAAACATACGAAATCCTAACCTCCGTGAAGCTATCTTCCGTGAAGGTATAATATTCAAAATGTATGATTTCTTAAAATTCTTGCATCAGTGCATAACCACTTATGTTATGATATTACTAGACCTGGTGGCTTCCCAAAAACCCCATTCTAGACTAACAGTGAAACAACCAAAAATAAAAAATAATCATTTTCACTTGGGGGACATCTTAATATATTCACCCTCCTATTTAACGAGTGTACGAAGTATCCGAAAAAAGATGCCATCATTGGTTTTCTAACTGAAATTAGTGGATACCTACAGTAAAGTTACGAAATACATCAGTAAGTGTTGTAGTAGTACTGATAATTATATTGTACCAAATTTCTCTATAATTTGATGATTTTAGAATGGCGTGTGTAAATTTTGTGTTCATTTATGTAGGTATGTGTTAATTTTTTTTTAGGAAATTTCATATTAAAATTATTTTTATTTAAGTCTCCAATGAGATCATTTTTGAAATTTAGTTAAAATTACTGTGTACCTATAAAATAATTGCTGTACATTCCTGAATAAAACACAAGTTTGTCAAAATTGTTTATATTTACTATTCTGAAGGTGCAGCTTCATCATCATCACACTTTTCGCAATCTTCATAGCCATCCGGCAAAGCATTAACCTCGCAATTGTGAAAAAACGTGCGATTTCCATCCCCCCAGGGATACCTCTTAGACCTTATCCTCAAATAGGGGTACTTAACGAACTCCGGCCTCTCGTGGTGACACCTTTGGTGCGACATATAGGTGTAGGCCGCCGCCATTAAAACTGCCGGTAAACCTACCAAGAAGACCAACTTTTTGTAGATTTTGTAGCCGCCCCCCTTGTGCGGGGGGTCCTGTGGTCTTTCACATTTAGCGAAGTCCTGAACGGTGGTCTGGAATAACCTTCGGAACACCGTCGACTGCGCCATTGGAATTTTTTTTAAATGCCTGTAAAGTTTTTGTACATTGACGTTTGACAAATTTAGACAGTTGTAGATTAAGTAGATTAAGTATAGTGTAGTAAACTTATTCTGGTACTGCTTAAAAGTCTAAGGGCCGTTTTTCAATCATAGTTTAAACTTGGTTCAGCATTTGAACTTGGTTCAAACAAAATATGCCGTTTTTCAATCAAAGTTCAAGCTTGAATTTGGTTTAAACTAAATCAAAAGATGAACCGTCACTGTTGGCCGTTTAAACGAAGTTCAACTTGACATAACTTAATTTTTCTCTGCTTTATTGTGTATTACGTTGTTTATTTCTTGTTTTGTGATCTTCTGTTATAATAAACCCATGGATATGTTTGAGGTAGTTAGTGAGGATGATGAGGAAATTGGCTAATTCCTAAATAATATTCAACTTCGTGTGCACAGGCCATGGGTAAGACCGAATCATTTTGAAAGGTGGAATAATGATGAATTTTTTGCCAGATTTCGGTTTTCCAAACCTTTTGTACGTAGGATAGTGGATTTAATTAGACCAGTTATTGCAAATCCGACCAATAGGTTAGTTATAAAAATAATTACTGAATAGGTAATAGATTTTAGTAAAATTTATCACATGTAACAAAAAACCACAAATTCATTTTATACTATAAAACGAAATACATACAAATAATTCCTCCTTAAAGGAGGTAAAGTTAGCAGCACGATTTTTATCCATAATAAATAATAATTACTGTTCTTTAACAATAGTAAATTGTTTTAAAGCAACCTTTCACACAGATTAGAACTTTTTAAAACAGCACAGATAAACAAAACTCCAAAAGTAAACACAAAATCCTTTTGTCAAAATGACAGTTTTAACTACTATTCGGTTGTACCAACTTAACGTTGACACCGCTGATCTAAGTTCAACTGAACTGCTGTTGAGTCGACATTGAAAAACTCATTTAACTGTGAACTGAGTTCATTAACTGATCTAAGTTCCCGTGAACTAAGGTTTAAACCCTAATTGAAAAACCGGCCCTAAGAAAAACTTTCTGTAGTTTATTAGTATGGCATAATATTCACCATAAACTAGGTGGTATTGGTTTAATAAAACGTCAGTTTCTCGAGGTTCGTATCGAATTTGCTCGGTATTCGCTCGATAAGGACATTCTAGTTTATGCCGTCGCAATAGTTTGACAAACCGTGAGACATCAGGATCGGTCGCTTTCCTGGGACTAGAAAACGCTCCTGCTCGTTGCTGCTGCTTTTCCTGATTGACCATGTTGTTGCGTTCTTTCCGCTGCTGGTGCTCAGGTCCCCGTTGACTGATTGGCTATCGGTTTACAGCTTTTATCGACGCGCCCATAGACGTACGCACGAAAGATTGCTTGTTGATGGACAGTAAAAAAATATTTGTTAATTTTAACCAAATATTAACCAGTTTTTATGTTAATCCAGGTCCAGATAACTTTATGTTAAGTTTACAACCAAGTGTAATATTTAAAGATGGGATATTTAGGTACTAAAAACTGAAAAATAGGTTACTAAAAAGGTAATAAAAAAAAGCATTTTAAGTAAAAAAAAACAGCATTTTAGGTAAAAAAAAAAACATTAAAAGTTCAAGTTTCGTTTATAATTTTGTTTAGCCGCATACCCAAACACAGAACATACCCACAATAAACCATTTCTATGCAATAAACTGTGTTTCACTGAGTGACACTCACTACACAGAAGTTCTATGACAGAACATAAGCTCACTACAAAGAAGGTAACTGTAAAGAAAGTTACTGTTACAGTCTGTAACCATAAGAAAAAATTCTATACCGTTGAGTTGCACGCCCTGGATAAAATATTGGCGCAAAATTTAAAAAGAACGCAAAAAATAAAATACGTAAAAATAGGTAACAAATATGTGAAAATAAACTGACAAATTAAAAAATATGTAACAAAAGTATAAAAAGGTAGTTTAAAGCAAAAACCTCCAAAAAAGGTAAAAAGGTGAAAACAAGTTAAAAAATAGGTAACAAAAGTATAAAAAAGGTAGTTTAAAGCAAAACCTCCAAAAAAAGGTAAAAAAGGTGAAAACAAGTTAGGTTCATATAAAAGAAAATCTTTTAAAACACATTTTGGCATTATTGGTTTTCAAATAGTTACACCGGTTGAAAAAAGGTAAAATAACTAAAATCCCATCCCTAGTAATATGTTAACCAATTGAATAAGTACCCCAGTAGCACAAAGATATTGGCCCAATATTCGTAATAATATATCTTTCGTCAGATTTTTTCTAGCATGGTCCAATATTGGCCCCAAGTTGTTTGACATTATATATAACCGATATTGGAAATCCGCATTGGCCCGAAGTTGTTTTACATTATATTCTAGGAAAGTTGAGGGAGAAATTGAAAGAAAAAAAAGATAGCCTCCTAGTACTTACTACGTAGTAGGATTTCTAAAAGTGATATGTCACGATCGTGTCGACAAACGTTTGTTTTCAGGAAATGTTTATTAGACTGGGCCAAAAAAATCAACTATTTTTTTTTTTTTAAAGTATAGCGAAAATATGGTTTGGGGCGACAAAAAAAATTATTGTGAAAGTTTGAGTCCATAATATTAATATTAAGAGGTCTATCATCGCAATTTTAATTTTTTTTCCCTCATCAAGTTTTTGTCTCAGAACTCAGAACAGATGAACCGTTTTCTTAAAATCATGCCCTAAACATTGGTATAGTTTTACATTTTGATCTTTTAACTTTGGAATTTTAAAATTCATGTAAAAATCAGTACCCATAAAAAACCGATAAATATTCTTATGTAAAATCAAATGCTTTACAAAAGAGCCTCTTAACATTTTTGGCCCAGTCTAATGTTTAGTAGGTACTTAGGGGCGTAGAAGCGGGGGGTTACTTGATATAAAATGTACCCCCCAAATTCTTTGAAAAAATCTACCAATAAAACAAGTCGTGTACTGTCTATGTTATTCTTAATTACGATGAAATGCTAAAATTTGTATCGTGTGCTAAAATTATCAGCTTGAGCTTTATTAACGTAATAACGAATTTTATTGCTAATAAGACAAGAAATCGCTTATTACCCTCGTTATTCTTACGGTAATATGCAAGAATGGCCTTTAAAATCAAATTAATAAACTACAAACTCATATTAACAAATTTGATTTTTATAACAGTGCGTAATTTATGAAATTAAAACAAAAACAAATATTCTGTTGTCTCCGCTCATGTCTAGAACTATGATTGGCGGATAGGAATCGGCATGGATTTCTACGCCGAGATAGCAGTAGGCATTTTCCCGACCAACTCGGTTTTTTCAACATTTCTCTTTATTTTCCACGTAGAAGTACGTATATGGGATTTGTTAGCAGAACTCGAAACATGATTAAGTCGACTCGACTCGTATTGGGTCAAGTTTTATGGAAAAATATTCGTTAGCTCGATGCCCGCTTTTTATGTTTACAAAGAAATCAACTGGAATTCCTTTTTTATTGGCTTGTGTCTCGTGACTACGATCATCGGCAAGTTTAATGGAAAAGAAACCAGGCGATTTTTGCATGGCACTATAATTGATTTAACTAAGAACTTTGTTAGAATTAAATTGTTTGATACAATCAAATATTAATCCCAAAGTCTCCAAACATTTTTACACAATATCATAATAACATATATGTACAATGTACATGTACATGTACATGGCCCAGTCTAATGTACATATTACACATAATTACAACTTTTTGCTTATAAATATTAAATTCCCAACTACTATATATAACCACACATTAATAATATTGCGATAGATCAGTTACTAAACATAAGATGTATCATCTAAAAGTCCTCAAGTACGTGATGGTTTTTTCAGGCCTGTGGCCCTTTGAAAACTACAATACTACACTCTACAAAATATATTCATGGACATGGGAAATTTTGTTCGTGGTGAACACAGTTTTGCTGTTCCTGAACGTTCCGAGCTTATGGGAAAATAAGTCGACGCTGACCAAAAATTTAAGCTTTGCTGTTTTATATTTCATAATCTACATTTCTTTAGTTTTAAGCAGAAGAAAGCCATGTGTAAATGTGTTGAAGCACATATTAGAGCAAGAAGAATTAATGCTTATAAAACCTAAAGTCATCAGAGGAATATATTTATATCACGCCAAACTAAATGTCAAATGTGGTGTTTTTGCTGTAGCTATGGTTAATATATTTTCCACATTTGTTATTATACCATCCTATTTAAACTTAATCAACCCTGAAAACGTTGATAAACAAAAATATTTAATACTACCACAATACATACCATTTGATGTTAACAATCACTGGAAATTGGTTCTGATTGTTCATACATTTTTTGCTCCAACTGCTACATTTTACTATATTTATACTAAAATGTTGCTGACCACCATTATAGTCTATGGTGTGGGCCAGATTATGATTTTGAAACACCATATAGCTAACCTGGAAGAACAATGTAAAATTATGGTGCAGAAGTTAAAGATTTCAAAACAAGAAGCATTTTTGATTTTGTTGAAGGATTTTGTGAAGGATCATCAATTAGTAATAGAGTAAGATTAGTGCTATCATCATAAAATATGATAGTTAATAAATAGTTGTTGTAGCTATATTTTTAAGCTAAATGAAGCTACAAACATGCTAGTATTTTCCGATTTTTTGGTAACTTCATTTCTCACATCCAGCATTCTTCTAAGAATATTGGTGTTTCATGAAGAGCAAGGTTTGGAGTTCATATCCCTCATCTTATACCTCGCCATGCATCTTTCATTTTTATTCATGGTGTATTGGTTTGGTAACAGGATTATGGAAGAGGTAATAAACGCAATATATATATAATTTTTTATTTTTGGTTGTTTCACTGTTAGTCTAGATTGGGATTTTTGGGAAGCCACCAGGTCTAGTAATAACATAACATAAGTGGTTCTGCACTAATGCAAGAATTTTAAAAAATCATACATTTTGAATCCCTTTGTATATTTAAAATAAGTTATTGTATCTTTTGACACCTTCATATTTTTTAAAAATACAAT